AACAAAGTCATGCAACAGTGAATCAAGTTGGAACGCCAAACTGGCAACAAATGACCAACTGGTCAAAAAGAGATGTTCACTATGCCATCTTCATTTTCTATGCTTTGTTTCGGTGAGGGAAGTTCAAGCTTTTTTGGTCCTGGTGCTGAATTTAACTCTTGGTGGGAGGCACAACTTTTGTCAGCCATTTTTGGTGCATAATGAATAATAGAGGGTCAGGTATCTTTGCTGGCACTGAGGGTTAACAGTAGGATGACATGGGGGCATCTTCAGGTTTGTGCTGCTGTTCACTGGCTGACTGTGAGTTGGGCATTTGTCACTGTCACTGACATTTACAGGGTTGCTTCTTCTGTACGGCTTAATATGGTCAATGCTGTACTGATTTTTTAAAGTAGCTCCCTCGATGTTTTTTAATCTAACACATTTGCCAGAGATTTTATGAATGGTGTAGGGACCTGAAAAATCTGGATCTAGTCTTTCTATCTTCCTTCCACGTTTCCCCATGTTTGGGAGAAGAAGTTCATCTCCAACATTGTACAGAAGGGTTTTGTACGTCTTCCTTTTGTAATTTTTGTGACTTTGCTATATTTTCCTCTACAGTTTTTTTTTTAACTTTGTCTTGTGCGTCTCTTGTGGAAGATACACTGTAACTTGACTCCTCTGGGAGAATGATGGAGGACAGCTAAAATTTTCAAATTTTAATTAACAATTACAATCACAAAGGCAAATAAAGCATGTGAAACATGAACTGAAAAAACTATCAATAATAACTATTTTTTAAAACTAATTATACTACTATAAAGCTTTGAACTCATGTTGCCACAAAGATAGACTCCTATCATATTTTTTATTATTAACACTTGTTATTATAGTCACTTTTTACTCTTGATGCACTTGCACAGGTGAACACATTATACTGAAAGGTGTCCTCGCCATTGATAACTTTGCATAAAGATACAAATATAAAGAAATAATAATTAGTCACTTACCTTATCTGTAAAATGTGTCTTGCATTTAGAAACTAAGCAGAAAAGATGCTGCAGCCAGTATCGATATGCACACTTTCTAATTAAGATTATATTTAATTCATGCACAATCATAGTAGTTGCATGAACAGAATTCTCTAAACACTTACCGGGACTTCAACAGGAACTTCAGAAGGATATGTTGCTTCTCTCCCATACATTAAACGGAATGGTGTGTATTTGGTTGTGGTGTGGACCTTAGACCTCAAAGAAAACAGTGTAGCATCCAGATAGACATTCTGTTGACTGTTGACTAATTTTTTGAGGGCTCTACATGTAGACAATAAAGCCCCCCCCCAAAATATTGACAGTGTTTTAAAAGCTATTGAAATGTTACATGGCATCTTCGAAAACGTTAGAGCACTTTCGCAAATATGTGATGTCTGGCTAATCGAGCAGATATTTAAAGTTTGCACAGCACCATTCTCGCATGAAAATATCTTAAAAGTTTATTTTGTGACCCAGAAAGAGTAATATTTCAAACTCCGCCCCTCTGTGTTCCTCCGCCACTGCCTCGTTTGAGTTTTGGACGAAATGCATTCTGGGATATTGCATTTTGTCATTTCGAGCTGATTGGAGACCAAAACAGCCAATCAGATTTTTTTTTTTTGCATCCAAGTCTGTGATTGGTTGGTTTTGTGGCACAAATATAAGGGTGTACAGAAAGAGTTGAACGCACACAGGCAGAAATGTTGGGCGTGCAAGCAACACATTGCGAGCGAGCACAAATGCACAAACTGAGCGAGAGGGGCTGCTATTGTGTGTGTGTGTGTGTGTGTGTGTGTGTGTGTGTGGATAATAGCAAACACTGAAATACGTTTTTTGTACGTAGCAATGAATTTTGTTCACTCAAATTTAGCTTTTCTTCGCTCAAAATAAATTTCTCCTTAAAATGCAACACTTGCATCTGCAAATTTTTTTTATATGCGCTCAATTTTTTTCTACGTGTGCTCAGAATAGAGGCACAAAAATAACGCATTAGTCCCATGGCTTCTTCCTTTGTTTTTATCACTTTTGTGGGGATCCAGAAATTCTTTTATTGCTGCCATATAACCTGCATTATTATAATTGCATTAATAACATTCTTTACAGTATTATTCCATTTATAATATTTCTTACAGTATTAAGAAGAACTACTAAAAAACATAGAATTATAAAATCAGAAAGGCTACTAATGTAGCAGGGTTGAGATGACAAAATAGTTAATTAACACACTTTATTAACAACCGATGATTAAAATGACCAGACTCCCTACCACAATGCTACCCTAAAACAATCATAGCTTGATAAAAAAACAAACCAAAAAAACCCTAAACAAAATAGTGGAGACTGGCCACTTGAGGCGGCAACCTACAGGGAGGAGTACCCAAGGGTGCCACCAATTACTCACCCATGTAATTTACACTAAACTCTAAACTCTAATGCATCAGGGAGGAGACTCCACCTCACATACCCAGCCCCTCAACAAGCGGCCGCACCTCCGTTAAAGCAATAAAACAAAGCATAAAACGTTAAACAAATTAGTAAAAGAGATCTACATAAAACAAATACACCCCAAGTTACTGTTCTCTAGAAAAGCATCACATAACAAATAAAACAGCATAAGACAAGACAGCAGCAGTATAGCACAATCCTGCAACAAAAGAGGGAAACAGTCGTCAAGGTCCACCCTACTACATGCCACATTATGATAAACGCAAGAGTCCCACTTACCACTCTCTAAAGGGCAATACTTATACTGAGTAGCTTCCCTGGAGAGATCTGCAGCGCTTAGCTGCCTAATGCTCTCGGCCACCTTGGATGGACAAGACTGCCAAATGCCGCCATCTGGTAGTGAATCGCAGCTTTCTTATAAGCCCACTAATTGTTAACTGGGAAGGTGTGGATGTTAGTGGTGCGTTCGTGGACATCACGTAAGATCCTACCCCAGAATCTACTTGGACAAACTGCCCGAAATGCATTGAGAGAAACATTTCATTTCAAGGATTTTGAGTCATTCTGCACTCCAGATGGGTTAATTGGGTTACAAATTTTAATCAGATTAATCATGATGATGGATTAATCCGTGTTGACGCGTTAATTTAGACGGCACTAATAAAAATAGATCTCTATTTCCTCACTCTAAAAAATGTTTTGTTGGCTCAACTCTTTAAGTTACAAACGTTGCATATTATTAAGTAAATCCAGCAAGTAAATTTTAGGTTTGGCTAACACAACTGCTTTAACAAACCAGCATGATTTACTTTGACCTCCAAACACATAATTAAGTTTAAGCAACCTAACATTAATTTAGATTTTCCTAAAATATCAAGTTGAAAAATTACATTAGTAATTAGTAAAAAATGACATTACTCTAACTCATTTTTTACATATATTTTACTCTATCCTATCCTGCAAATGGTGTCAAGTTTCTAAAGTAACTTTTCTAAAATCACACATAGCTATTTCATTTATTCCAACTGATTAAATAGTTTATTGGAAAAATTTTTCCAAGTAATGCAATTCCGTGTCATACAACATAAATCAAAGAGCAGCCCTTTAACTGTACTTCAGTAGAATCCCTCCACAAACGACCTCAGTAAGAAAGAAAATGTAGAATGTTTATTACCTGGACAAGGTCTGTTTAGTGAATCAGAAGCCAAAACATACCAATTCACTCCATTTTCTTTACTCCACAATGGTGTCTTCAAATTCCGATTGACTGAACACACCAGGCAATCAACATTGTGTAGAGTCTTGATAGCTGGGAAACAAGCAGAGCAATGGGGCCTGATGATCAACTTTGAGAACCACTATAAAGATTTGTAAATGTATATTAAATAAAACAGTCAATAAACTATGAAGTCTTCCAAATCACAATAATTTTAAATCATGCCCTTCTAAAATACCTCAGAAAACAAACATTACAACGTAAGGCAATTGGTTTTTCAAATCTGCTTATTATTAAGCATTAACTTTAACCTATCAACTTGGTAAATATCGCAGAATAATAAAAAAAAAAAGACAAAACTTTTAATGTTCAACAACACAACAAAGGTAACGTATATAAGCCCCATTATTAAGGAACACGCTTTGGGCACATCAAGGTCTTCCAGGACAGTTGTTCCTTCAATCACAATTTTAGGGTGGAAGAAATGCTGCTGTATGTCTGGTGACTACATTGTTTACCACTTCTTCTGGGAACTGTTCCTCACTATCCTGCCAAGTAGGTTAAAAGGGCACATGTCGTTTTGTTTTTTTTTGTACCATTTAAAAATAAAACAAAAAAGTGAGACTTACCTACCAGCTGTTCTCTGAAGAGATCCTCCTCTTTTTTTTTTTCAGATACACCATCAGGCAACGGATTGCGACCTCTCTCTTTGTTTCCATCGAACTCTGTAGAATAAAAAAGAAAACAGTTTACTAGGCGAAAAGTCTAAAATTGTAAACTTATGGGACTTGCAGTGTGTCCACTGTGCAGTGTGTGCAGTCTGGTCCAGTTTTTAAGAAGGTTGTTTCCAAGTTAACAGTGGTGATCCTTTAGAATTCATTATTCAGCTGTGAAAAAAGAAGAAGAAGGACACAATTAAATAGTACAAAATGTTAATATAATACACAATGTCACCTGAGCAATGGCGGTACATTAGCTAATATCCAATACACTGCTGTAATTTTTCGCTTTTTTTTTCTTGAGGTGCCAAGCGGATTACACACTTCAAACTCATCCACATACAAAATGAGGGAAATGGCTGGACTCTCTCCTGATAACAATTTATTGTACCGTGACAAGTGACAAATTTTAATTATAAGTGGAAAAACTGACAATGTACTCTCTTATTTGTGAAGCACGTTTGCTAGCTAAAAGTAATGGCTAGCTAACCTTTTTTTTAAAAAAAACAAAAACAAAAAAAAAACAACAACAACTCTACTCTACTCTGCTAAATTATGATTAAAACTATCAAATTTTAGGTCTTTAAAGATGACCTTACCTGAAGCCAAGTGTACAAATATAACTTGTAATTCATCTATTTAGAATTCAGTGCTTTGTTATCTTGCCCAACACAGTTTCGGGAAAACACACCTCAACTCCCACAAAGTGAGAAGAATGATTCTTGTGCCCGTGATGATACAAACATATGCTACGGGGTTGCCCTGTGCTGCATGCATGGTCTCATACAAACCTATGGCTAACCAAAGTAAACACCAGAGTGACAGATGTAAGTAATTACAGAAAAAAATACATTGCCTTTTACTTTTGTAGAGTAACAACTCAAATAACAGGCTAAGTTTCAATGTGCATCATGTAGCTGCCATTGTCAGACTAAGCTTACACAGTAAACTTATATACTGTAGATGCTGACGTACTGCAACTTACAACACGTGCAGTTGTTCAGGTGTTGTGGCAAAAATAAAAACAAAAGAAACCCTTTAACCACTTTTAACCCCTGACTTTGACACGTCTTTTTATGTGATATCTCCTGGTGATTAATAAATTAACAGGATTTACTTTGATGAGTTTCTGTTCAGGCTCAAATCGGTTAAAGGGTCTCAGTGATGAAATACTAATAATAACTCCCCAAAAGTATCGAGTCTGTTTTGAAAATGTAAGGAGTAGAAAGTTCAGATATCTGTTTAAAATTGTAGGGAGTAAAAGTAAAAAGGAGTCACAAAAAAGTACTGAAATCCAGATACCAGAAAATTGTACTTAATTATTTACTGCCCGACTCTGGAGATGAGGAGAGGTTTTTATTAGTCGTTGATGTTAAAGTGTTAGAATTGTCATCAGTTACTATGAATCTATGTAATCAATATACACTAATAATGTAACATTACACAGTATTAACCTGAATGAATTTTGCCTCCTGAGGGTTACAGCTGTGAATGATGTCATCAATGGGCATTTTTTTGTGTTTTTATTTGTGTGTCCTCAGTTTCCCAGCATGCCCTGGGTGTGGTGGTGGAGGTGAATGAGGGGGAAAGATCTGTCCTGCTGCCCTGTCAGTACTCTGGGTTTATACCTGAGAATCCCACAGTGATGTGGACTCGCAGTGATCTCCATCCCAAATCTGTCCATGTGAGACAAGACGAAACAGACGATCTCAGAGGACAAAACCAGCGTTACAGCGGGCGCACATCAATGAGACCTGATGCTCTGGACACTGGAGACTTCAGCCTCACTCTGACAAAACTAACAAAGACTGACAGCAGCATCTACACCTGCTCCATCAGTGATGGGAGAGAAGAACGGAGACTGAGAGATATCCAGCTGCAGGTCAAAGGTCAGCCACAAACACCTTGTGTACAGGTCAAAGATCCTTCACAGATATTGAGCTTTAATCCTAGAAACTGAAGCAAAAATTGATCATTGAGATTTTTCATCCAGTTAGTCCTGATGTAAATATTACGCTCATGTTAGGAACCACTCGAATATGTGTGCGTATCAGTGTGATGTGTAAATCAGAGTGTAGCTAGTAACTGTAGTATTCTTAAGGGTAGGTTTTTTAAATTTAAGATTTAACACATTACATTTATCAAAGATTGTCTACGACAGCTGGTTGCTGACATGAATACCTCAAATATGTTATCCTACACCAGATCAGATGTTAGAAGTTATACACACTACAGAAGAGGACAAATTATTAGCCCGCCTATGAAAGTCAAAGGAGCTTGCAAAGAAAAGCGTCTGGACTTCTTTAAGTTGCTTGAAGACGTTTCACCT